CTTTTACTAGCAAGCAGCGTCCGAAGTGGATTTCATGAAGAAATCCAGATGCTTCAACGAAAGCCACCAAATCTGCATTAAAAGAAATGAAACCAAGCACGAAGGTCTTTGTGCTGATGCAAGTTTCGGAAATAACCAAACAAAACAACAAATTGGTCTCACGCAGACTACGCTCGGAAGAAAAAAACTATTCTGGCTGTCAGAAGCAACATTCCATCAGAAAAAAAAAATATAACATATATATCTCATATTTTGCAGGAAGAATTCAAATCACAGGTTTCAGTATCAATCAAAACGACAACATTTACTTATTCTATCGCGTCTCTGCCACTTAGGCTCCCAGAGTCAACCTGGTTGCTACGATGAATTAATGGACCGAAAGTCTTATCTCACTTTTGTCTTCTTTCCCCTTACTGTTTTTTCTTTCTCTATTCAGTCACGCCTTTGCCACTTAGGCTTTCAGGATTAACTTGGTTGCTACAATCAGCTTAGCCACAGATAAACTTTTGGGCAACTGCCTCTCTTTTGCTCATGTCATCTCCTCATTTGAACTCGAAATCCATGGGTAATCGTCTGTTGTATTCAACATACCTCGCCCATTTCTGGACTGAAATACTGCAGAAGATAGCCGTTCACCAAGGCAGCGCCATTGCTTTCTGGAGCAGTCCATTCCAGATCGACCCCATCTTCGGTCACATTACGAAATGATGGTTTACCAGGCGCTGATGGAAATGTTGAGACGTCCGGCATACGGCTGAACGTTACTGATGGATTGGTGTGCTCTGCAAATTTCCACTTTCTGATAAGACAAGGAAATTCGACAGACAATTTCCACATTCACGGGCTCCAAACACCAAAGTTACAAACCAGCTATCACACAATCAGTGAATTGGAAATAAAAACGTCGACAAAAATTTGGAAATCACAACACAGTTCACACCGATTTTTATTTTCCTCTGACGCGGCATCTAAGAAAATACAGATATGAAGGAGTAGAAATTATTCAGCCAACTCATGCTCCACAACAGTTTCTCTTCTCCGCATCAATTTTCCTCTTTTTAAATTTCCCAGTTTTCACACCACTTTTACATCTCTGAGCTCCCAGTTCAAACTTTCAAAGTTTCACCATCAAAACAGAATTTAAGAGCGGAACCTTCCACCGTTAATGAAGCAGTCCATGTGGATTCGCCGTCTTGGTTGCGTGCTCGACAAGTATACACACCACTGTCGCTTTTCCTT